TTGAAGACCTTTGAATTCATCTAACTGAGGTGGTTCACTTGTATCATTTCGCAAGATCGCAAAAGTTTACAGCTATCAATCTGCTAACTAGTATGTATAAGCAAGAGGAACTAGAGAAATGGGCTAAATGCCCCTCCAATGCCGAACTACTACAACCGAGCTTATGCTCAAAAATGGCCTTTGAGATAAGGGTCTAGTCGCAGAACTCTTCGGTGTGATTCCCCCATCGATGTGATCTGGAAGCTACGATCAAACAGAACAGAGACATTGGAGAACGCCTTATGGAAAGTCTATTGGAATCCCCCGAAGGATTACTGCCACCCACCTGGAGTAGTAATTCACATAAATGCAAAAAAGATGGAATTCAAATGGATCGTACATGACGGGTCAGTAAAGATCTACTACATGATCACTTCATTTTTTTCTCATCAAACAAAAGTATATCAAGGAGAAAAGTGTAATTCATTAGGTGTTCAGGCGGTGTGTGCCTCAACTGGCTGCCGCCACGCTTTACACCATCTCGAAACAGAGAGGATAATCGCAGGGAGGGCACACTGCGTTGAAGCTACATCTAATAACAAGCCAGAAGTACACCTGGCACAGATGTTACTTATGACAATGTGAAGAAAAAGACGAAAGTTAGGAACAGAAGTCATAAAATAGAACAAATGGAAGCTCAACTGCTAAAAAAAGCTCATGAAGTGGTTTGTAGTTCTACTTTTGAGAAATTCAACCAGAAGTCAAACATTCACGCCTACCCAGAAAGACGAAATAGTTAAGCCGTGATAGATCGAATGGATACCTCAGTGTCAGCTTCGCGTAATCATCTTTGTTCGACTCAATTCCGGTATCGCATATACAGAGCAAACAAAATCGCCGTTGTGCAGCGCTTTCAGACGAAGATCGGATATCGCCTAAAGTCAATAATTTCAATGATAATAAAGGCAGCTGCCAAGTCACCGATTATATGCATGCACCACTCGCTAAAGCGGCGCACCGAGAGTGCGTTCATACTCTGCAGCAGCGTTTTGAGCGTCTATTAACATTCTGAGCATTTTCAGTCTGCGTTCATACCTTGCGGCAGCGTTTACCAACGATCACGTGTTTCGACTGCTCGTCACGGCCACGGACTAGGAAAGTGTAGATATCGATCCAACAATTGGCAGCGTCCACCAGCGTCCACTAGCGTCCTCAGCGTCTAGCAGAGAGTATGGGGAAGTAGGAGGGTAGCAGACTTTTGGTAGAATATGAGGAAATAGGGGGGGAGCATACAGCTTGATGAGGCGGCGTGGAATTGCGGAGTGTGCAACCGCACTGTACAACTGCTCAAGTACAGAATTGTGCTAGTTATTGTACGGTATTTTGTAGCAGTACGGTGCAACTGGACACGCCGCAGTTTTTCGACGCCTAAGAAAGATGACTGGTCGCTAACAGCAGCCTGCTAACCTTCTATTTCCCTATACTCTGCACTCCTGGACGCTGTTAGACGCTGGTGGACGCCGCTAGATGCTGCCTCAAAGTAAGAACGCAGGTTTAGCATTTGCAGCGTTTCAAGTGACAGGCAAAAACAGGTACCGATCCACCGTTTCAAGCGTCCCTCAGAGTTTCGAGCGTTCTGAGCGTCTTCTAGCGTTTCGAAAGAACCAAGAAAGTGTAGGTATCGATTATCGATGAAAATGCTGGCGGGCGCACAAAACGCTCCATACGCTGACAGACGCTCAAAACACTGCCGCAAAGTATGAAAGCACTCAAAAGAACTAAGGATATGCAATTATGCTGCAATGCCCACTACGATGTAACTGAGCTGAAGCATCGCTGACGTAAGCCCTTCAACATGGCTATCACAGCGAGGTTGCACCTCGCATCCACTGATTTACGGGCCATATCGTCTTGGATGCTCAAGGATATACATGTAACACTATTCTCCTCGAGGACAGCAGTGCCAGCATCGATAGCGGTCAGCTCCCTTAGCACCACTCTACTGCAATTGAGGTGTGGGTTTCAACAGACTGTCGCCCGCACCATCACCGATTATGAGTGCAGGTCCTTAGTCCCACCCAACTGCCGATAATCGAACACCACATGTGCAAAATACCGCCTAGGCTTAAAAGGAGAGGACAGAAATGTAGCCGATTCTACTTTTCACATTAAACCTGCAATTGCATTTACAGAAAAAAAACAAGGCGCCAGCCCTATAGGGGGAAGGAGAATATTTGAAGAGCTCCTTATGCAAAAATAGGATTGCCGTATTGGATATGAATACTTCCGCCTAGGCATAGGGAAGTTGCAATGGTGCTATTTTTTGGCAAGGAGTCCTTTAGAACCGCTCTGCTTACAAACGTTTTTACTACAGACGCTGCAGCTCGCCAGGAGCAGGGTTTGGCGCGGCGCCAGCTCCACCAATTGCTGAAGCGGACAAGCGACAAAAGTTGGTGGAAAACGGAACGGAGCGGTTTGTCACCCCAAACCCATTCCCCCATGTCCAGCGTCTGCAGCAAAAACGAATGTAGCTGACTTTTCTCAGAAACGAATTCCCACTACAAATATTGACCTTAACTTACTAACGTCTCAACAATTCCAATTATTCGATGCCCTGACCACGAATAAGTTACCAATTCTAGCGCTGGCGTCACAGGGATAGACATTGCACGCTAACCAGTTGCAGTTTAAAGCCACACTCCACTAATCATTGCCACAAGTCACTAGGCATTACTAAACAAGTGTCAGTTATTTGTAAGCCAGTGAGCCTAAGGTGGCGCTAATTAATATCAGCAAAAAAATCAATATCATAATCGTAACAAGCAGCGTACTTCTGAAAACGATGTCTACTGGCGCAAGACTTATATTCTGGTTTTGTGATCGTGCGAAAAATTCTATTATACACAGACTCCAACCTCAAATATTACGCGATGTCCTGGAGAGAATGCGCATAAATAGACCAAAGCGCGTCAACTTCACCACCACACCACAATGAAAATCTGCATTCGAAATAGCGTTACGCATCAAAGAGACCCACAAATACGCAGCATTACTATCCGTTGATAGAACAAACTGAACGGATGCTTGGTAGAACAAAATGAATGTAAACTGAGAAAAGAAACAAACCTTGCCATGGTTTCGAAGCAAACCAACGATGACCGGCTGTTGCCATATCTGTCTCCATTCCGGATATAGCCTTGCTTGAATATGGAAGACTATTACTACCGATTGTGGAAATACTGCAATAGACGAAATTGGGTCATCCATGAAAAAAAAACCAAGACGGTTAAGACAATCGTAATTCGCCCCACCGTCACATGCGGTGGTTCTGCAAGCGAGAAAGCTAACATCCCGAGCTCACCGATCTCTCCTGTTCAGTGACTCTCTCTGAGAGAAGAGGCTGACCTTGAAAAAGGGTTTTTGAGGCTGCAAAGTGTCTGAAGGCCGCATGCGTCAGGCGACATCGCTGTCCACGCCACTGGGCCGAGCGAGTTACCATTGTTTTCTACGAAAAACAGCGCCAACATATGTGTTTGGAGATGCTGCGCGGCGGTGCGATTGAAGCTGTACTTCTGTGCCTGTCTTTGATATGGCCCGGCCTAGCCCCGCGGTGTGGGCGGGTATGGAACGTAAGGGAGACGGGCAATGGAATCGTAATTTGCTGCTTCGCCGCGCGCGGCGTCGGGCGCGAGAGTTTCTCAACTGTCGATTAACGCCGATTGGAGCACCGGACTTCATCTTGACCCCGTTATCGTGGACATTCATGACTAATTTAAGTTCTGAATTGCTTGTTATCGCCATCCTCTGGAACCGTCGTTATTTGCGAGCGCGACGTCGCATGTGACGCCCACCAACGCGACGAATTACGATTCTCTTGTCATGTATCCGGAGCGTCACTTCCCCTTCGTGGCACAGCAGTATGGATTGGGCTGGAAGAAAGATTCGACGCGCAGCGTAGCCGCCAAATGTAAGGGTTGGGCCCGAGGGCGCGTTTTGAGCTTAGCTCAGAGGTCAGGGCGACTCGGAAAGCATACAATCCGACTTCTTGAGCCTGCCGGCGTTTTGAGCGCCGTTTCAGTGATAATCAATACGTACACTTGCCCCAATCGCGAAGGCTTAACGCGCTAGATACCTGTTTTTCTAGTCGCTCAGTACCCTCACTACACTAAAAACGCTAACACTGACAGACGCTCGAAAAGCCGCCGCAAGGTACGAACACACTTTTAGAGGTAAGAAAAGAGCACAACAAATGGCCGACACCAATTTTTTTGCCAAGTTCGCCGCTTCGCGCATTCTTCACATTCGCTAAGAATGAACACGTTCCGGAGCTATTCAGTTATTCAGTTATTGGTATACATGGAAACAGGGCAGTCCAGAAAGAAATTCTATCACGAAATCGAGTGCTGTTAGGCAGAACACGTCCTACACCTTATCCAGTGCTTCCATTCACCTCATTTTGCGGAAAATGAAAACGATACTTTTCGCGAATGACATCAGTTATACCCACTGACAAGCTGTTTACAAGCATTTATTTTCAATGTAACACAAGGGGAAGCACCAAAACCCTAGTTATACTAATTAAAAATTTTCTTAGCAAAGTGTAAGAGTATCACAATAGACTCGTAAGTGTAATTCAAACTCCACAAACAGCAAACAAGAAATTTCATGAAACAAATTAGTAACCCTAAAAATGAGCACAGTAAAGCTATGAAATTGCACATAATGCCACGAGTAAAACTAACACTGAAATCTGCTATGACTAGACACTGGATCTGTTAGATCACTTATTATTCAATACCCAGCAAGTACGATCTGAAAAAAGTTAAGCTTGTTCGACTCAACGAAGTCAGGCTACCGCTTACATGAGACCGATGTTTCATATTATGCGAGAGGAAACGCAAAAGCGAGTGCTAAAAATCTAAACGTTTTCCACATACAATTATGAAAGACAATAATAACAATGTTCGTTTTGCAAAAACACTACATCACTAAATTCCTGAACTTGGCTAATTTATGGAGAGTCATTTGTTCTTTTTATCGTTCTTTTTCCACTTCTTGTCATCGAGGAGATCATCGTCCAGTTTCTTCTTTCCTGAATTCGCCTCTTCCCTGGTCGCATCAACAGCTCTAAACGAGCACAATTTATGTGGTTACCGGAACAGAAAGATTAGTCTGGTTCGCTGCGGATGATGCGGCATGTCCGCACGGCTGCTTCTGGCACAGCGCCAGAATGTTTTTCTTTTCTCCTTTAGACAAGTGACAACACTCTATCCTGTCCTTCCTATCTTCTGCAGTTGTTATCGCTTGCCTACCCAAACAACTGCTGAAAAATGGACTTGACGGCGTGCCAACGCAGCCACGCGGACACGCCCCGTCATTGCAGCTAACCAGACTCTATTCAAGCACCGCCAAAAATCACCAATATGCAACTCAAAGCAACAAATCGTACGATCGTGAGAGCGAGCGCTAATTTGCAATCGTTAGTATACAGAAATCTAGTAGGTGCTATGGCGCTCGACTGCTAGCGAAGGCGTAAATGGGTCTGAGGGTAGTAATATCCATACAGTCTCCATGCTCGACCCATGTTGCCGCACGGCTAGCCACACGCCTCACCAAAGCCAAGCAAGCAGCCTACTTGTCTGCGCCCCCCTCACTTCTCGTTGTTCTCTACCACTGATTGCGTATTTCGCTGCAGGATCCTTACTCACGCAAGTGCTGCAAATTAGGGATAGTGCGAACGGAGTATATGGACGGCATCGCGTATCACTGCCCTCCACCCCGTACGGGCACACTTGAGCGGAGAAAGTGATACGGTACTGCTGCTGCGCACCCACTGCCCCGCATGGCAAGGACCGTCCCCGCAGGGGAGCGTACAGCCCTCTAAGCCACCTCTCAGAAGGCGAAGAAGACCGCAGAGATATAGAAGGGAGAGAAAAGGATATAAATCTGCGAAGTGCTTCAATAATATACCGCTTATTCTGCAACGTGGACGTAGACTCTTAGGCCGCGTTCATACCGTGCGACGTCGTCGTCAACGTCGACGAAAGCTGCGTAAGTTGCGTAAGCTGCGACTGGTTCGTGAATAATACATACGTATCGATCCAACGAAAGCTGCGTAAGTTGCGTAAGCTGCGTAAGTTGCGTAAGTTGCGTAAGCTGCGTAACCGACGACAGCTAACCGATCGATACGTATCTATTCTTCTCGAAGTTGTCGTCGGTTACGCAACTTACGCAGCTTACGCACGCAGCTTACGCAACTTACGCAACTTACGCAGCTTTCTTTGGATCGATACGTATGTGTTCTTCACAAACTAGTCGCAACTTACGCAGCTTACGCAACTTACGCTTACGCAACTTACGCAGCTTTCGTCGGATCGATACGTATGTATTCTTCACGAACTAGTCGCAGCTTACGCAACTTACGCAAAAGACGTCGCACGGTATGAACGCGGCCTTAAGGACAAGAAAGCCGTCAGTAGCACGCCTCCGCATGAAATTGAGAGAATTTACATCAAAAATGAAAGAAAATATCACCACATACTTGTAGAGCGCATCATAAATTCCGCCCATGAAAACAGCACAGAAAAGATTTTCGATTGGAGCAAATGGATCGGTGACTCCAAGGAGGAGAGCAGAGAGTTTGAAATAGATGAAAAATGCAACAACACACTAAAAACAAAATATTAAATTGGTAAATCGCACCAAATCGAAAGAGGGAACTTACCAAGTAAACGAGATCATGAGGAGCCGTTACATACATACTATTTCTTTCTAGCGTAAACACCAACGAAGCTACCACACATGCCTTTGTTGTGAACGATGGGCGCAACATTTCATGTTGTGAGGGAACCCATGTACCTCTTACAAGCTAAATTGTGTGTACCTCTTACAAGCTAAATTGTGCAGCGTTTAGAGTTGCCAGAAGGATGAGAAAGCAATAATAAACAATATCAAGAATCAAATGACCAGAACAGTGCATCTGTGATTTGATTACAAGGCATCCATCAGTGTTCATTGTAGTCTAGCTCGCTGCGGAAGAAAGGGCATGTCAGGCGGGATAAGTTTGGCGCGGTGCCAAACCCGTTCTCCAACACTTGCGGAAGCGAGCAAGTGACAAGATTGTATCATATCGTTCGTGTCACTCGTTTTCTACGAAATGCTGTTGCATACCAGCTTGAACAGCTGGCACAGAACGTGTTTGGCGCCGCGGCACACTCATACTGCCCGACACGCACCGTCACCAGCAGCGAACTAGAGTATAGATAGGTGAGTCAAGAGACGTTTTTTCGAAGCGTCGTTTGGCCTAGCTTTCCAGAGGAAAGGAAGGTAGATGAAAGAAAAATGAGAGGAAGGGGAAGGGAAGAGAGGGTAGGAGGACTAGAGGAGGATGTTGGATGTTTCAATTGACGGATACCCTGAGAGCTTGTGGTCCTTAACCCCAGGTTCTAACTTGCACTTCATTTCTCTGGCCTAATTCAATTGAAAAGCAAACATAACAGCAGAAACTTCAGTGCTTACTGCTGATATTTTGTGGAAGCAGATCTCAGGAATTGTCGATTATCGGGAGGAAAATAGCAATACAACACACCTGTTCGACAATCTGCACAATTCCTGATCCGCAGCCTTTCGAAACCCCTACTAACACCTGAACCATATAGGATTCTGAATATAACTTCGTTGCATAAGCGACACCATGAGATATCTGAAAACATATTCATTCTACCAAAAATTGTAGTTCATGATCATCAAATCCAACAACGCTAGCTGGGTTCACACGCTGGGAAATTAGAAAACAGGAAAATTTGAGAATTTGCGAAAATAAGCACACTTTGAACAGGAAGAGGCGCCGAACGTCTTGGTGGGCGCACCGAAGGTACTCAGCTAGCTTAAACAGGTCAGCATGCGAAGACCTGCAACCTGCCGAAAACAAGTGGCTTACTCAGCAATTTCGCGGCGTGCAGGAATTTACAAGTTTGACCAAAAAGGGAATCTAGTTGACAAGTACTAACAAAAGGAACTAGCTGAAGTACAAAATGCCCCCTCCAAGCCGATCAACGCTCAGGAGAATCAAAAAGAAGACTAGAAACGTAACGATTGAAGTTTTTGTCTTCACCACAGAGTCACAAGGCATGAACGCGATACCTGTAATGGTGGACTCAAAACAAAATCAAAGCTGATGGAATCCAAGAAATCCCAGCAGAAATAGAAAGGAAAAAAGGCAGAAATGTTGCCGAAGGTGATGTCTTGGTTCTACTGCTTCGTTAGCAAAACTTTCAGAAGGCAAAACGAAAATGGAAACAAGCTAAAAATTACCTTATGAGCTCGCTGTACTTCTTTGGCAATGCATACTAAAACTTTCACTAGCTTGAAGCCGATTATCTTATGAACTAAATCGAAGGGTGAGTAAAAGACCGAATACCATACGATGGAAGCCTGAAAGGTGTGTGTAAAGATCACCCTCTTTCCCAAGATCGATATCCCAAAGACGAAGAGGGCGTAGCTTCAGGCCTCATTTGCACATGGCTCTGGCCGCGTTTCTGAATCACGTCGACTTTGTCGGATGCAACCTGTTTCGGTCCAGCACGACAGAGGACCACAGTTG